AGCACATAATTATAATGCTTCAAGAAATAATTATATAGATATTTCTACATCAATAACAATTTGTTTTCAATGAAAACTCTAAAATAACTGTAATGAAATGTAGAAAAATGCCTGCATAACAGAAAACTATATAGAGCTATTACAATTCATACATTTTATTTAAGGATATTTATTATCCCTTTAAATATACATATTTGTAAAAAAGTAAAAATAAAACTGGATTTGCTAGATAATAACAGTACCATATTGTTTGTATTTGACGTTTGTTCAACTACTTCACAAACCGTTTGTATGTGAGGGTGTGGTCTAAAAATGTTAGTTTTAAATGAGTAAGGAAATATAAAAAGAAAGAAATGGTACCTAGTTTTCTGAAAATAGTGAAAAAATATTATCAAAACATTTTGCATTTTTGCCCAGGTTATAATTGAAAGAAAATTTTCATTCAGCCCGTTTTAATTATGTTTTGAATAATGATGCCCCAATACAAAAAGAGAACCATACCAATGGCGATGTCCATCATAAAATTGTTTGTTTCAGCAATATTATAAATTATGCTTGCTATATAAAGCTGTAGAAACGATTCTTATTATTTCAATTTTGAAACATTTAAATTGTAAACGATTTAGTAAGGTTATATTTAAGTTATATAGTGCAGTAATTTGAAACTATATACAACAAAATATGTAAAGAAGGCTCGACTCTAAACTTGTTTTGTTGGAGTGAGTGATACGCCCAATTATTATATTACAGTTGTTATATTGCAATAATATTTTGTTAACATGATTCTGTCTTAAAGGAACATCCTAACTCCTTTGAATAGCCGCCTTATATAACAAAAATCCAAGACAGTTCTATACCCAAATCTACTGTCGGTTTTTGTCGTTTATATGACAAACCCAATGTTAATTAAATAGTTTTTTATCATTAGTAATATTACCATAATCTTAGTACTAAAAAAGCGAATTGTATAAATTTAATTTTATTTCGGACTGAAAAAATATTAGAAATATGAATCAAACTCGAGGCGCTTAGAATTTTTGTATTATATGTACCTACTAAGTATATAATTAACAGTAATTGTTGCAGTACATCCGAAAATTACTCTATTAGTGGGTCATATATTATACATATCTAAACCGCTTCAGCTACTACCATTTTACTGTTATATCTTACATTTATCTTTTATGACAAATATAGAATTAATTTATTTGCACCAGATATATTTAAAAACAAACATTTTACTGATTTTGATAGGTAACATAATCTTTGTAAATGTGTAAGAAACTGTGAGGTAACTGCATTCAGCAAGCCTCATACAATTTACAAATGAACCAGACAGCTTTATAATAGTACGCCCATTTTGTGTTTATTACTGTTGAAAGAACGTTCCGTAAATGCTCTTAGTTAATGTTTTGTTCTATAAATTTTGTTTCCTAAAATTTTTTTAGCATTTGTAAAACGTCAGATTGTTACTTGGACTAGGATTAACCCTGTATATTTACAACTTGGTACTTCATTCAATTTGTGAAAAATGATAAGTGAAAAACTAGCTTGGCTAAATATTAGAAAAGGAATCTCGTCATTGTAACGAATATGTAGATATCTGTCTCTCAACTGAAGATAAAGCAATATGTGAACGAGAGCATGGTTTTGAATATAAATTTATTTTACTTATAATTTAATTTCCAATATTAAAAACAGAAATAAATTTTTTGGTGTTTCAGCAGTGATAAAGTATGGTCAGCTATTCCAAAAGCAAAAAATGGGAATAAATTCCCGCTGGCAGTAGTATATTCTAGCGAAAGAACAGGTAAAGCATGTTTACAAATATTAAAAAAATCAAAAAATTGCTGCAATTGTTATATTATGTTTCCAAGTTTTACGTATTACCACTATAAATAAAATACTGGTTCTATAAGTTGGTAAATATGTTTTCAAACTGCTTTATTTTTAATAGGATCTTCAAATATTTTTGTTTTTAATGGATGGCATCAAATATTTTTAAAATAACACATTGACGTAAATAGTTAAAAATTCTTTTATAAACAGATCATGTTAAAATATTTGGCATTAAAGCAATAATTTTTTTTCCGAACCAAATAAAATAAAAAGAAATTGCGAATCAAAGTAATTAATGATCATCAATTATAGAAAAATATTATTTAATTTTTTCTATAACCAAATGTGGGATAAATTATACTTTTCAATTAATTCATTTCCTTCTTAAATGTTAATTATTGTAATGTGTCCCATAAAAATAATAAAAGTATAACTCGGCAATGCGGATTTGTATTGGAGTTTTAGATCCAGTCCAGTGAAGAGCCTTTATTTTAAATAACATGAAGTTTCATTATATTTTCTCTATCAGCTTAAATTATTGTAATTCTGTACTAAAGTACCTATGTTATGTTATGCTAGGAATGGAGTGTTAATATGTTTCGATGCCTATAATGACTCTTTTAATCTTATCTTCTCAAGAAAACGTAAGATTTGGAGTGGCTTCAAGTTAAGTAAATCTCCCACTTCTATTTGATGTGCTACTAAGTATAGTGTGTACTAAACATTCAGTGAAAATTTAAATGGAATAGAACCTCTACTTACCATCTTCTACTACTCTTAGATTACTAAGGTGTCCTTTGAGTCCGCAATGCACAGTAAGGACCCCAGTTACAATGGCTAGTCTGTTCTTGCTCAGACAGATACAGACTTCTGATCTTTTCTGGTTATATTCACCCAAAAGTATCTTAGCCTTTCTTAGTTCCAATTATCAGTTTTTCCACCGCCCCATTCTGTTTCACTTCTTTCCAATACTGTGTTACTGCTGATACCACAGAATGGTTTAGTTCCCATAAAAGGAGTTTTAGCCCCTTTTCTTGTGAGACTATCTGCAATCTCGTTACTCTTTACCCTGTTATGTATCGGGACCCAAGCGAGAGTAACTGTATTTTCCTCACCTAACTAATTCAGTTTTTTCTAAGCATCTTTAAGCCATTTTTAAGCTGATTACCTAAGAGTTCGGCGCGTTGATGGCTGCTTAGCTATCGCATATTCTGTGTACGATAATTCCGCTCGATGGTAAATTGGATACACTTCTTAATGGCATGAATTTCTGCCTGGAAGATGCCTGGGTATTTCCCAAACTTTTAGAGTACCTGATTCTAGGCTCATTCACTCCTATTCCAATATTTTTAGGTTTTGGAACCATGCCTGTATTACTGAATATCATGTCTTTCGGTTGCAAGCACAATGGGATTCTTGGCTCCATTCTTTCTTGCAGTCCAGCTCTGCAGTTTTGAAGTTTTTCTAAAAACTGTACTTCTTCCTCATTTCATCCTGGGGCATATCCTCAATATCGTTGGTCCTGAAGCAATAGACTTTTATCTGATTACTCAGTTCCTGATCATTTTATATCGTGTCCTTTTTGCCACACTATCTACCATTAAATGTAGATAGGTGAGGTTAGGGATCATCTCCATTGCGGTCGTAGGACAGATTCTCATTGCACCGGTGATACAAACACAGGATAGTCTTTGTACTTTTGAGATATTAGCTCTCGAAGTAGCTAAACTAATTCTGTTATTCCAGGCTAGTTTTGTTACTCCAGGCTATAGTCCCGTAAGTGATAAATGGTCTCACTATTGCTAAATACATCCATTGTAGTGTGTTCGGGTTACATCCCGATCTTTTACCTGCAATGTTTCTGTATACATTTAGGGCTTTTGTGGTCTTATTTACTACTTTCTTCTCATGTACGCTACAGAGAAGTTTGTTCTCCAGAGCAGGCCTAGATGTTTAACTTCTTTTTTCCATTTTATATATAACCCGTCTAATTTGACGGTTTTGAGATTGAGTTTTAATTTTCTTGAAACGGCTACCAATGTAGTTTTTCGTCGAGTCCCACTGCACCATCTTTTGGTGTGTTCTAGTCCTCTTTGGTCTATATCTCACAGGATATTTCCAATTTTGCCTCTAGCAAATATGACTATGTTATCGGCATAACCTTGACGGGGTATACCGAGATTAGTCAATATGCATAGAAGTTTTTTCTATGGATAGGCACCACATTAGTGGAAATAGAACTACTCCTTGTAGACATTGAGGAGACGATGTCGGTCTTCGACCCTTGAGACTCAAGTTCGAATCTCGGCTGGGGACTATTTTTTAAATTTATTTTATTTTATAAATTAGTAAAAGTCGTAAATAAATGTACATTTATTACATTACATTTATTAAACTCGAGGCAGTTATGCCGTGCAAGTATGTCTTTTCTAATCTTGTAAGCCGAAGTGTAGTTACTACGTGAATGGTTTTCTGAGCAAATTAACACCTACTTCCTGTACATGTATTCAAATTTATTACCCAATTTTTTTGTGATACTTCATTGGTAAATTTAAAATGGTTTTAAATTTATAATAAACTGTGTTAAATAGTATTTGAACTTTAAATTGAAATTTAAGCTTCAAACTACCAGTCATATTATCATTGAATCAAGAAAAGCAGATAAAGTGATTATTGGAATCACTCTACAACAGGTAACTTAAATTAATGGTATACAGTTTTACCATGTTTAGCTGACCACGCTCAAAAATATTTTATGTTCTTAGCTTATTATACAATAATTGCAATCGTGTCAGTAATCTTAGCTGTTGTTAAATTAATAAAAAAAATTGGCAAAAACGCAAAAACATCTCAACTTGTACTTTTAAATTGCTTTCTTTTAGGATTTATAAGATTTTAATTTTTTCTACTCTTATTTATAGTGCCTCTTAGTTAGAAATTAATAATAATTGCAATTTTTATTGAACAGTTTTAAAAAAAATTATATAGTACTCTCCGGTCTAATTTGATTAGTTTTTATTTTTTTTATCACTGTCAATCAAACTGTATAATTTTGTGGGTTTTTCTCTTATTGCGAAACCAAAAATACTCATGATTTGTAGTGTCTGTTATGACGCACTGTAGAAAGCATATAATAATTAACTTTTTAATTGTAGACTTACCAATAAATGTTGGCAGTGGACACAAATAACACCTAGACAAAGTACTACTATGGGTCCAAAAATTATTCCTGCATTTTTTATAGCGTCTCCCATAGCAAATATTCCTGATCCTACATTTCCTTTAAATAAGTGCATAAGGGTTTCAAGGTAACTGAAAAAAAAAACGAATTATAGTCTGGTTCTCAGGTATTTTGTTTATCTAATTTATTACAGAAATTTTTTTATGCATATCAATTATAAGGTTTTTCCTAAATGTAAGTATGAGTTTTGGTTATATTGTAGGCGCTGCTGCCATCTTGCATGTACAAGAGATTAGTTGGAATAAAAGTGGTTCTGCTGAAACCATTGTATTTTTAATGGATGTAAATCTAGATATGGTTCGTTGCAATAGAAACTAGAAGACAGAGAGGAAGTAGATGATTCCACAAATGTAGAGAAAAAAAATCCTTGAGATAATAGGTAGGATTGAAAGAATCGTTATAGGCAGCAAGACATTTCTTTGCTGCATTAGCGACAAAAGGGGACACAATAGATCTTTTAGGTCGCAGTGTATTAACAGCCCATTTCTAACATAACTTAATGCTGTAAAGTAGTGGTTATTACAATCTCAAAGGAGGTGGAACGTGCATCCAGTAAATCAAGAATGCTCTAAACTTGGTGAATTCTAACATTTGTCCCAACATTTATCCAAAACATATCTATTGTGGGGCTATTTATGTCGCTGATTCCTTATTACAAAAAAAAACAACGGGCACACCACGGGCCGGGCCAAATAGGTTCCATCGTCCGGTGGATATACGACACCGTACAAATCTGACGAATCTGGACCCATTGTTGGCCCGGACCCAACCCGTTATATCTATATGCACCTTTACATGTATGGTCTGTCTTTAAAGATGTATATAGATATAAAGGGCCGGGCCAGCGCCGGGTACAGGCCAACAACGCACCTTTAGGTGTAAATAATTTAATTAAAAATTAAGAAACTGCACCAGGAAGAATTCGTTCTACGCACGCTGTCTTTCTACCTATTTACGTTATTGTATATTTTAGAAAACTTTTTTTGTCGAAGCTGGAATGAGTGGTTTATTAAAAAATTGAGGCTATTCTGTCACCGAGTGAGGTTCGAATCTCATATTCAAATTGATAAATCGGGCTACGGACATCATGTTTAATGCAGGGATGCACAGACTTATAGGGAATAGGGGCCACTCGGGAAAATTATAAGCCAAGGACGGGCCACTGCAAACAATACTTATTAACACAATTTCTTTTATTTCTAAATAGTATTGAATAACAAAGAAAAAAATTCGTTGGCAGGCCACATAAATATCGACCGTTGGCTGCATGCGGCCTGCGGGCCTCGGTATATTCATCGCTGGTCTAATGTAATAGGTTATAATGTCGAGGTGTGTATATTCTAATTTTTATTATTTGTTAAAAATATTTGGTATCAAAATTAATATTTTCAGAACAAATAAGATTCTATTGCGAACGAAGGACTATCTCTCCATTATAGTTGAAAGTATTTGATACCCGGCTTAGTTATTGTTTATTGTTTTTAGAAGGTAATCTATCTGTCTAGTAGGTATTAAGAATGTCACCTTGACCCATTCAGTTTTACTTTTTGCGCTAATTAAAAGATCCTGTGTACTTTCAGCAGACATGCGACGCTGCCAGTTTTTTTTATATTTCCAATTTTTCTTTAGGTTTGTGGAGGAGTATTTCAGGATGATAAATTGCTTTAGCAACTATTAAATTTTTCCCTCGTATAAGATTAGTTTATATTACATTGTTTGTATATTATGCTCCTAATTTTCTAATTATTTTTGTTCCTTTGCGATTACTTGCCATGGCTCCATCTACTGATGGATTCTGTAAATAAATTTTCCTGCGAATGGCTAAACTGTGATTTCCTTGGCAATTTCGTTCCGTCTTTTAAAGAGGCTTCCTCATGTATTAAGCTGTAAGGGTGTACCGGAATTTCGTGGTCATAGTGCTACCATCCCGAGAAGGGGGTTCAGTTTTCCGGGTACTAATTGTGGGAGAACCTCAAGTACTTTTGGAAGAGTTATTCGATTGATAGAGATTCTCTGGATTACTTTGGTTAGAAAAGGATTTATTTTACACTACACGTAGAGCTTTTTGAAAATATATTTCACCCTTAATCAGTAATAGAATTAGACATTTTACCGTTAAATAATAAAAAGAGGTAATCAACAAATTTATTTGGCGCTGAAGTCATCTGAATAAGCAAACCCCTTTGCCAGGGGTTCTATGGTTCATTCATCCGTTTTTAGTTCAACGCATCCACTCCAGGGACGTTCTCTTCAGAATAGAATACATAGCGACGCTGAATTCTGGATCAGCCTCCACTTCATGCAGGCTCCGTATTGGATGCACGCAAGTTATCTCTCAATTTTTTTTATTTTATATTTTTTATCTCATTGCTTGTACAGCTTTTTCGCCTATTGTCACGCTTTCTGCTTACGATTACTTTTTAATAATACATACGTTTACTTGTTAGAAGTCTCTAAGGTGCGGAATCATTGAACGGAAATTTTGCCTTTTAGGCTCTAAAGTACATGTGCCTGAGCTCAAGAGATGTAGAATGTTTGTTACTTTTTCGCCTTAACACCAGCAATAACCACTAGCTACTTGTGGCTTGGTTGATTTATTAGTATTTTTTTTTGCTATTGCATTATTGCTATTAATAAGTCTGTTTAAAAATTACAATTGCATTAATTGCTGTTTCTTAATTGCTACCGCGACTTTTAACATATTTTGGTTCAATTCACACTTAGAATTTAGACGAATTTATAGCTTTTTATTTGGGTTTGGTATTAAGGATTTCAGTTATTACCTTGGACTTAGTCCTAAATATATGTTATTTTTTTTTATCTTGTTTAATTGGTCTTAAATAAATAGCTGGTATTAAGTATATTAGTTTTATTTACGTACTTGAGTTGGTATATATTAAGTTGTTGACCTTTTGATAAGTTATGGTTAACAAGGACCTCTTAGATACTCGGGTAAATTTATCTGGCGCCCTTCATTAAGATTCATATTATTTTTTTGTGGACCACACCCGCCTTCGTTGTAGCTAAGCTGCGAGTATCTTGAAAAATGATATGTGACCGGGTATGCGTAGTTTGCCTGTCTTTTCATTTTTCATTTATTAAGGGCCAGTTTTTCAATCACGGTTTAAACTTTCGTTCACCTGAACTTGGATCAAATATAAAACTATATCTACTGTATCCTAAAATAGCTCTCGTTGCCTTATTCTGAGAAAGCTGTAACATCTCGAAAGTAAGTTAGAACATCCTGTGTATATTATATATTTGGCATAACTTGTATCCTAACGATATCACTTAAGCATAGTTTAAACCATCATAGTGAATTATAGACACTCAACCAAAAGTTCTTGGGTTAGTTTATAAAAATCTGTTTTCTACCATATTTTGATTTTTTTTATATTCGATTTTTTTTCCTGAATTTTCACCATTTATTTGCTTGAACTTTTAGAGGGTATAAATAAAAGTGTCGTTCTTTTTATATAAATTGTTGCAGCTTGCATGCAAGAGTATATTCCTCTGGTAATATCGTTTATAGCTGCTTTAATCTCACATTTCTTTGTTTTTATCTTTTAGTTTCGAACCATATTTACAGCTGAAAAATTGCAAAATATAATATTAGATTGTTTAGCTTCAAAGAGTTTTATTACATTACAAAAATAAAATGTTTTTTCATGGGCATGGGACTGGCGAAAAATAACATAATATTAAGGTAAAATCATATGCACAGCTTTAGAAATAATTTAAAATCACTCACCTCTATTTCAAGATGCACTTGCAATTATAACTTTACTTCAAAGAAGTTTCTTGTATATTATTTAAAATAAATAAACGATTCTTCTACATTAGTTGCTTTCATTTAAAATCTCAAAATATCAAGATGTAGGCTACCAGTTTAACATTTTGGAAAAATATGTGTTGCCTAACCTAGTAGTAAAGCCATCAAAATGGCCGCGCCCTATGTTGGGCGTTTTGGACGTCTCTCTTGCACCGTATAGTAATCAAAGTAAGTGGCTAACATGAATATAGAAGTGATTAGTTTGTTTAATTTTTGTTTAGATTTCAAATTTAGGTTGATTTGTAGTCTCAAAAGTCAAATTTAAAAAGCATAAACTTCTAACTTGTCATTGTCATTTTGTCACGTGACCAATAAAGTCTAGAGCATTTGTTTATTACATCTACATTCAGATCTAATTCTCTATCACGCGATAAAAAATGCACAACATCTCAGATGCATCCGATGTGGATATTCAGGGAAATTCAAACGCGGCATTTGACGGTTCAGTTTTTCGGATAGACAGACGTGAATTACATTTGAAATACACCATCTTTTAATTAAACCCAGTTCATTTACTGAACTCAGTTTAAACTTTGAAAAACTTGCCCTTAGTAGTTCTAACCGATTTTTTTTTTTTTTTTAATTTGATGTCATCGGCGTCGACTACTACGGCCATTAGCCTCGTGTTCTGTGTAGGCTTTGTTACTGTTTCCCAGCGCCACTTTAGGAACAGCACTGTTAATTAGAACCCAACAGTGAATGGTCGAGTGGGGAATCCTACCAAGGCATCAGAATTAATTTTAAATAATTAAATTAAATGAAAAAATCCCGGCCAACGGTGGGATTCGATCCTGAGACCTTCCGACACATACTTTGATTTTCTTTTACTATACGGAGAATGGTCGCACTGCGCAGCTTTCTGAGTGCCTTTTAAAAGAAGATAGAAAACTCCGCCATTTTGAACCTTTATTACGTGTTGCCTACATCTTGGCGCAATATTTTTAATAGGTGCGTTTTAATCATCCGCTTCTGCTTCGGAATTGTCGGTTTTCTTGTTTTAATCTGACAGATTAAAACGACTAAACCGACAATTCCGGAAGCAGAAGCGGATGATTAAAACGCACCTGATATTTTGCTTGCTGCTGTCAGTGCCAGTGAATATTACTTTTGAAGTCACAGTTTATTGCTAAAGAATCAGTTAGCTCACTCGGACCAGTTAAAAGTTCCAAAATAACATCACTCCAGGGATACAAAATCAGGATACGCAGAAGACTGCTGTTTTATTATAGGCGGTTGTCA